TAAGGGTTGTCCCTGTTCTCCATTTGTCCCAGAAATGAAGACTTCCCCTCCCTTTCATGTCAGGCTTTCTCCACCTGAGGGGTGTTTCAGAGGAAGCTTGGAGGGTCTCCTCAGGGACACCCAGGGGGCCACTGAGAAACAAGCTCATTGGCTCAGGCAGACAACATAGGCACCTGATTTTTTAGACAGCCTGGGTCCTTTCTAGACTTGTCCACCCCCACTTTGTGACATGTCTTTGCCATGGCCTGTGTTTTCCCACGGAAATCGTAGTCTCCGGTCTGCGAATTAGGTGACCTCCAACTGACAGTTGCTAGAACTCAAAGGGCCTGAAAAGGGGTTGACTTAACTTCCCTTCCCCCCTTCTCACTTCCTACCTGGCCTGTTTCTTATTGTCTCCACCACCACTCCCCTCCAAAGCTGGTGGACATCAATAGGAACCTGTTGGCCTGATAAAACATGGTGAGGTGAAACTTGCGTGTGTGATCCCAGTGAGTAAACCGCACTCTCTCTGTCAAATAAATGGGGTCTGGAGTCTCCAGCCTCATCCAAGGGCCCCTGCCTAGGAAGGAAGGCCACCTGGCCAGTCTCCCTGTTCCAAGCCCCACTCATCCTCACCTTCTCTCATCTCTTAAGTCACTTTTGTTCTGTGTTTCAGTGTCAGCCCCCATCCACCTTACTTTAAAAAGGCCTTTCTTTGCAAACATGCAGCCTCCGCGTGCCAAACTTGTTGAAATACCTTTTGCCTTTTTTAGAGTACTTGCTACAAAGCCACCTGGCAGCAAGACCCATTAAAGTCCAGGACATGCCATATGCAGCGGCCAAGTCCCTGGGCAGTTGAGGAAGATGGGAAGGAGCCAGTGAGGTCCTGGGCCGGCACCTGGCCAGGTGTACATCTGCACCATCCTCCAGCACTAGCACACCTTTCAGTCCCTTTACTGTTCTGGAGGACTTGTGCGTATTCTCTCGCTGATGGCAGAGACCTTCTTGAAAACCTGTTGAAGCTTACAGTGCTGCGGGTAATCTCTAGGGAGGCGCGGAAAGGCACAGCACTTACAGGCTCCCGTTCCGAGGTTTCTGATCTCCATCTTAAATGACAGTAAAAACACTGGCCCAAAGGAGACAGTCAGCACTGTCCTTTCAGCAATCAGGACTAACTCGTGGGTGCCTAGAAGCCCTCTTCGAGGCACCCAATTAGCTGTGAGGACTGGCTCTCGGGACCAAGACCTAGCCAATAATCAGCAGGTGATGTCCGGGCAGAGTTCCCACAGCTCCCCCCTCCCGGCAGCCCCTGGATTAGGCTGAGCTCTTCTGTTGCTGGCTTGGCTTAAGGATATCTGACACTCTTGAGAAACACCTTTATGAAATGTAGCCAAAGCAGAAAAGCTTCCCTGTGGGCTGAGCCCCATGAAATCCCACAGCACGTGGGCAAGGCGGCCAGGGCCCGCCTGAGCCTCAGACACCTCGGGTCCCGCCTTGCTCTGCATGGGAAGGGGCTGCAGCCACCAGCTCCCTAGCACCTGTTGTTTGTGCTTGGACTCCTCAGTCCTGTTTCCTTCCTGGTCAGTAGGGAAACAGTTCTCAGGCACCTGCTGTTTCAAGTCCACCTCCTCCTCTGCCTGGGGAGACGCCTGCAGGGATGTGCTGCAGCCTCTCCTCCACCAGCCTCTCCTGCATCCTGCTATCCTGTCAGGGAACTGGGACCCCCTTTCAATAAAAGTTATGCACAGATGTGAACACCTGAGGCAGGGCTGGGCAGCTATTCATTTGTTCTTTTCCAGAAGGCAATCATAACTCATAGCACATACCTGAAGTACTAGCACCCAAGGCAAATGTTTTGTTTTCTAAGAGTAAAATTACTTGCAACTAGAGGACAGGGGCTGGTAAGTTGTTTTGGCAACAAAACAGGAAGCAAAAATAAACCTCGTAAAGGAAGTACTGCACTCAATACCACTTCCTAGAGCCAAACGAGAAATGACTGAAGTGCCATTAAATGAAGTGACCATCACACTGCCCAGCCTCTAGGTGGCGCACTCGCGCACGTGCTGGGGAAGGCCCAGGCTTCACTTCCTTTAAAAGGCTGCCTGGCTTTGCTGTATTGTGTTAGAAAAGCAACACAGTGTGTTCTGTCCAGTGGGGACACTTCCCTCTGTCCTTTCTGCCACCCCAACATCTGAGGTTCCTAGTCAGAACCACGTTACTGCACATGTCACCGGGCTCACTCTGGAGGTGCTCACTCATAGCACAAGCCTCAATCCAGTTCTGAACTGTCGTTCAAAGCTAAATGTCTGCATGACGTCACATCTGTTGTACCTTTGGGGAAATTTGTATGTAAATGTACAGAAATAAAAATGTTGCCCATTAACAAGTTTCCTCTGGAATGTCTTCCCTACCTCATCTGATGGTATCCAGTGAAGGGCATCTCACGACCATTCACAAGTAATAAAGACTATTCAAATCTCGCTGTGTCTGTTTCAGCGCCTCTGTGAGCCAGTCTGCCCTCGGCCTGGGAAGGGTGGGTGGCCCCCATCTGCTGGCAGAGTCCTGGTCTTAAAGGCAGGCAGAGGCAGAGATGGGATTATACACAGGTTGTTTATTCAGGGCCAGTCTAAACCATCTGAGCAACGGGGCCAATTAAGTTCTTTTCTCTTGTGTATTGATGTCCGGCTAATCCGTGCACTGCAAGTTCCCAGAGAGGTGGAGAAATGATTATCTTACACTGTGATTCTGTGAGGAAAGACTGATAACCCAAAACGCTCTTCTTTCGTGTAGTATTTTTTACCAAGAAAACAATGTTTGTTTAATAAAGTTTTATACCAAACTCCACTCTCCATAGCCCTGGTTCTGTTACTTCCTCTTCCTGGAGGTGCCTGCAGGCGCCCAGCTCCGTGATGCTGGCAGAGGCCTGGGAGGTTAGCACAGGAAGTCACAGAGGGAAGCATCTCAGACCCCAGATCCCCTGCTCGAAATGCCTTTATGTCCCAGCCAGTGTCACCACCCCTGGCTGCTTACCATGGGCTCAACGCCTTTGCCACTGCAAGAAAGTGTTACAGAGCCCTAGACTATCAGCCTCCAGTAAGAAAAGGGTCCGCATGGACCCGAAGGTTGGGAAGTTCTTGGCCAGTGGTCCTCAACCCCGCCTGTGCTGAGAAGCACCTGAGGAGCTTTCAACCCCGCCAATGCCTGCGCCCCAGGCCATCTGAGTCTCTGCAGAAGGGTCAGGCATAGGCAACCTGTGACAGCCTCCCCAGAGATCTGAATGCAGCCACGGTTAGGAGCCACTGACCCAGGAAATACTGGCTTTAGGAATAAGGAGTGGGAAAAACCCCAAAACATGTAGCATTTGGTCCTAAAAAGACTGGAATCCACTTCGAGTGGTGGGTAGGAAAAGACTAAGTAAAGATGACAAGCAGGTACTCAGAGGGGAGAGGAGGAATGACTACAGGAGAGCAAGCACCTGGGTCCATGCAAAGGAGGCAAAACCATTCCTGACATCTCCATTCCCTGGCACTTACAGTCTGCAGAGTGTTTCTGTGTATTTAATCCTAAAACTAGCCCAGCAGAGGGGAGATTATTCCCATTTTGTGGTGAGGAAACAGGGCCCAGAGAAGTGAGAGACTTCACCAAGACCACAGTCTAGTGAGCAGGGAGGACGGGGCTCCCTCCAGGCCTGAGGGAGAACCAGCAGAGACAAGCGCTGAGGAAGGGCTTATTACCTTAATTTTAACTGGGGATGGACATAACGAGTAACAACTAATTTAACCCTTCGATCCAATTAGCCCCCTTCCATCCCAGCAAAACCCCACCTGAACCCCTTTTCTATTACTGAGCAGTCCCCCGGAAACTGCTGCTCACTCTGCACTCCCTCTTCCCCAGCCTTTGGCCCAGAGTCTGGTGAGGAGAAGGAGCATTGGTAAGACCCGTTAAACCCTTCTAACCCTTTAAAAACAATACGTAAACACATTAACCTAGTGACAAGCTGGACTTCAACTCATTTATTTAGGAACACACCACACACAGGTTAGAAGCCCTCCCCTCCACCGCTCAGCTAGAACTTCTCGGGAAAAGCCTCCATCTCTTCTTTGATCCTGTTTTCTACAAGTAATGCGAAGTTACTGTCTGTGTTTTGAAGGTTATAGCTGACAAACACCTGCTTGTTGGTCTTCCTGGCTAAAAAGAGAAAACACAGCAACACAGCCATGACTGAAATACCCAGGGAGCCTGTGTGCCTCCGGCCGAACTGACAGGGCTTTCAGGGAGAGAAGAAAGTTCTCATTTTTATGGCTTCACAGGCAGCTACTGCAGATGCAGACTCGAGTCACTGGGACCCTTTCTAAGTCTCTAGAACAGCGGTTCTTACAGTGTGGCCTCCACATCAGCAGCGCCGCTGGGAACTCATCAGAGATACACATGCTCAGGCCCCACTCCCAGGCTGACCTAATCAGAAAGGCTGGGGTGGCGGTCAGCATCCGGGTCCACGGGACTCTAGGGGTCCCAACACTAATGTTTACAAACCACTGCCCTACATACACGGTTGGTTTGCTTGTTTCACTTTTCAAAAACACTGATAATATGAAAGTATTTAAAATAAAATATTCAAGTTCTCCTTCAGTTCACCCTCCTCTCAGAGATCACCCTACATCTCTTCATTTCTGCGCATACACGTAGATACACACACACGCATATGTATATGTGTAGTCAAATACACATACATACAAATGTCTAATTTTCAATTGGATGTTGAATATAGTTTTAGCCCGTCTACAGAACCAATGATAATTAAGGTGTGTGGCTCTGACTGCAGAGATCAACATGAAAGATGAGATGAACATCCTGAAGACACGTCAGGCAACAAGACTGAAGCAGCCAAATACTGTAACTGCGCCAGAGCTGGGGCCTCCTCCCCAGGCCTCACACCACACATGGGGCAGGTGCAAACTCCTCCCCACAGTGGCACGCACCCACCCTTCCACCCCGAGAACTTCAGACAACCACACCAACCCAGCATCAAGACAAAAAGGTAGTGAGGAGAGGTGAGGCTGGGATACAGCTCAGTCAGCCCTCATTCAGGGGTAGGAAAT